CTAATTATTCTGGTCTGCAGGACACCGCATGGTCCTTCTCTCCGGCGTGGTGACTTCGGCCATCATGCTGCTCTTCCACCAGACATTTCTTTCGCGAAATAAAAATGCCGCGGAATTTCAAGAATGCGGACTCGATTGCTTACGTGAGTACTTGTGCTTGTAATAACTTTTTATATTAAGATTTTTTTTCGTGATTGTTTTTAATGATTGTTCGTTATTTCTTCTCCGTGACTTTTTTTTTCTTCCCTTTCCTTCACTCTCTCGACAGGACACGACACGAAGCCCTTCATCCTGCAGACGCCCGGATGCAGCATCCCCGACTTCGACCCTCTGCACCCCAGTGTTGCCAGATTTAGGGTGAAGAGACCCAAGAAGGTATGGCAACACCTGGTATCCTTTTACCGTGCACGACCTTCTGTTCATAGATTCAAATTCTATTCACTTAATACTATTTACCATTCACTTACAAACGTCACGCATCTATTGATTCACTTTTTGTGAGCGTTGAGATATTATACTTTATTTTTTTCCTCATTTCTTTCAGTACACTTGCTCCAGACGAAGGCCCCTGACGGAGGTTCGAGGCCTGTCCCTCCTCCTCCACCGGGACCGCGCCGAGGAGTACGGGGTGGCCGAGGACGGGCTCTCGTGTGTGTACCAGGGCATCGTCAGAGTGGAGCAAGATCCCAAAAACTTCACCATGGACTGTGATAAAAAATTTGGGTGGGTTATGATTTGCAGTTGTTACGTTCGCATTTTCTGTCTTCTCTAATTTTGTATTCACTGTTACATACATGACCCTGAACAATAATAGACAATGTACAGTGAATGCTCAAAATAGGCAAGATTCTCTGGTTTTGAATTTGTCTTGCAGAAAATGCAAAGGCCCCATTTATCACGAGTCAAATGACTGAGAGTAGTGCATAGAGGTCAGCTTGAATCCATTATCTATAAACTGAACCATATATCCAGACATGTAACACTAATTCCACAAGGTAAAATCCCTGTTAATTATTCAAAATAATGCTTACCTTACTTAAAAATAAATCCCATTGCTCTGTCATTCGCTGGTGATCTTCAAAGTTTTGAGTAAGTCAGCTGATTGTTTTTGAATCCGACAATAGTTACATCATTATCGTGTATTTTGTCTAAACCTCGGAGTCCTTGCAGCCTGAAGAAGAAGGTCCTCCTCCGAGACGCCGTCACGCCCATAGATGAGGACGGCGTCTTGGTGTCTTGTCACAGCAACGTAAAGAAACTCTATGAAACAGTCCATTACTTCCTTCAACCCCGAAGATCCGAAGCAAAGAGAAAACGTTTTCAGGTACAGTCATAACGAAATGCAGGTAATTACCCTGGTGCGTTAAAATTCCAGAGAAAGAATTTTAATAGTATTTAAATAAAATAAATTCATCATATATCTAACCACTAAAAAGATTGTTATCTGCAGACGCATATATTTTTTCGCAAACACAAACTAATGATAAGTGGTCTCCTGCACACAGGAGAAACATGGCGACCATCGACAAGATATGCTGAGCGTCTTGATCATGGGCATTGACTCCGTGTCTCGCGCCAACATGCGACGCAACATGCCCAAGACGTTCCACTTCCTGAAGGACGAGCTCGGCGCTCTCGACTTCCAAGCCTTCAACAAAGTGGCCGACAACACCAACCCCAACATGGCCGCTTCACTGATGGGACTCACTGAGAAGGAGTTGACTGAGACCTGTCAGCCGAAGCGTACGAAATTTGACGACTGTCCCCTCATCTGGAAGAATTTCTCTGACGCAGGATATATTACAGTGTATGGAGAAGATGACCCTTATTCAGGATCCTTCCATTACAATAGGTATGGGTTCGTTAAAGAGCCCACTGACTACTACAACCGGCCTTACATGTTAGTTTCTCACTCGTACACAAAACACAATGCAGGGCTGTCCGGAAGCTTTGTACTTTGTTTGGGAGGAGAAAAGAGCATATCTGTTATCCATGATTATTCCCTGGCTGTTGCAAATACATTCCGAGACACGCCGTATATTTCCTATTACTGGAACACAGGCATAACACATGACCAAGTAGAATGGGCGTCAGCCACTGACCTGCCCTCACTGGAGTATCTGAGAAAACTAAATGAGAGTGGCGTGTTGGACCACACCATACTGTTCTTCATCAGCGACCATGGAATCAGGTTTGGGGACATCAGACTGACCTACGCCGGCCTGCTAGAGGAGAGACTGCCGTACTTCTTTGTGCTGTTTCCCCCATGGTTCAAGGAGAAGTACCCTGAAGCCTGGAAGAACCTCAACACCAACACGCAAAGACTCGTGTCCAACTTTGACTTCCATGTAACACTGGGAGACATCCTTGCCAGAGCATATGAGAACAATTTCACCAGGTGAGTGTAGAGAAAACGTGCAAACATATGACAAAAGCGTTTTTTGTGACTAAGTATTCATTCCTTTTTATGTCTGAACATTTATGAGACGGCCTTAGACGCCACTTAAATAGGGAGAATTGTCTTACTTTTACTTTTCACTATATGATTTTCAATACTCATCGACTGATTTTAGTATGCCAACGATGCCACATGGACAGAGTTTGTTCCAAGAGATCCCGGACAACAGGAATTGCGAAGACGCTACCATACCAGAACACTATTGTACTTGCGAACGTTCCAAACAAGTAGAAGCCAATCACCCACGTCTTCGCAAGGCTGCAGAATTTGTCGTAAACCAACTTAATTATGGAATGGAAGCGTTTCCTGGGTGCATCAAGCTGCATGTGGCAGATGTAAGCGTATTATAAATGGCAGTTAAATTCACTATAATAGATATATCTTTACTATAGTGGCAGAAACACAACATTGATAACTAAAAGAAGACGTATACCTTGCTGCTACATAAACTTACAACAAACTGACACCAAACTGACACGTCTTTGATGTTACATGAGCCCTGAAATTTTGTTCCGCAGGTAGTCAGAGGTCGACTGGGACAGAATCGTAAAGGCGTTCGACCGGACGAGGCCAAGACGAAGACTATTTCTGTCGTCTTTACCACCTTGCCGGGTGAGTGAGTTTAATTGCTTGAGGGAGATATTAATGTCGCTTAAAATATGACAAAAAATCTAAGAAAATTATGTTTAAAAGTTTTATAAGATATCTAGGACGTTTACGACTGAGGCCCGTACTTTTAAAATCTTTCGCCAGGGCTGGCGAAAGGTTTCGCCGGGCGATCCGGAATTTCGTACTATTAAAATCATGTCTGGCGAACGTTCGCCAGGGCTGGCGAAAGATCATATTGGAACAGCCTGGCGAAGCAAAGGCGCGAGAGCTGTTTGAATACCATTTTCTTGCTTTCAAGTTATATATTAGTAACATATTTGTGTATGATATGATGTAGGAATCACAGTGAAATTCTAAAATATCTTAAAATCATAATTTATTATGAAATAACGTATATACGTTTTTTTTCAAGACATCAAGACATCAGCTGTATTCCTACCCCATACCCCTACCCCCACCCCCGAGATGACTTATTTAGATTTAGGTTGTTGTTATTTTGGTTGTAAGGATAATGTTCTTTTCACAAATGTTACCAGAAGTGTTTTTATGGCGGCATGTTTACTTTTGGCTATAGAAACATGGCTGTAGTGCTCCACCGCCCTATAATGAGGCGTGTCTAATGATACCCTTGTAGGCCTACAGTTCAATATCTTATATCAGTTAGGAATAGTAAAATAGTAATTTTTAAACTCTTTTGTTAAAGTATAAAGTCATTTTTTGTATAAAAGTATAAAGTTGATATAGTATAGTATAAAGTACTTTTAAAACCTTCGCCAGTGCTGGCGTTCGCCTGGCGAACCTCTGAGTGAGGGAGGCCTTACTTTTAGCCCGTACTATAGTATAGTATAAAGTACTTTTAAAACCTTCGCCAGTGCTGGCGTTCGCCTGGAGAACCTCTGAGTGAGGGAGGCCTTACTTTTAAACCCAAGGCAGGTGTTCGCCAGGCCTGGCGAACGAAAGGGATCGCCAGGCGCTAACATCTTGGATTCCTGCTAAATCTAGCGCTTCGGCGACTGAAAAAAAAAAAAAAAAAACGCGAGAAAAAGCAATAGGTTTTAAAAGTACGGGCCATAAAGTTAACCTTGTTATAGTATAAAGTATAGTATAGCATAAAGTATAAAGTTAATTTTGTTAAAGTATAAAGTAATTTTCTACTTCTTTGTTATAGCATAAAGTTAAAATTTAACTCCTTTGTTATAGTATAAAGTGAGACTATTGCGGAAACAACATTTTCGTCTTCTCTCGAGGTTAATTATTAAGTTTAGGTTATGTTATGTGCACTGCAGATGTAAACAAATTTGCGCTAGATTTAGCAGGAATACAAGATGTTAGCACCTGGCGATCCCTTCGCCCGCCCTGGCGAACGTTGGGTTTAAAAGTAAGGCCTCCCTCACTCAGAGGTTCGCCAGGCGAACGCCAGCACTGGCGAAGGTTTTAAAAGTACGGGCCTAAAAGTAAGGCCTCCCTCACTCAGAGGTTCGCCAGGCGAACGCCAGCATTGGCGAAAGGTTTTGAAAGTACTTTATACTATACTATATCAACCTTATACTTTTATACAAAAAGTAACTTTATACTTTAACAAAAGAGTTTAAAAATTACTATTTTACTATTCCTAACTGATACAAGATATTGAACTGTAGGCCTACAAGGGTATCATTAGAGACGCCTCATTACAGGGCGGTGGAGCACTACAGCCATGTTTCTATAGCCAAAAGTAAACATGCCGGCATAAAAAACATTTCTGGTAATATTTGTGAAAAGAACATTATCCTTACAACCAAAATAACAACAACCTAAATCTAAATAAGTCATCTCGGGTGGGGGGTAGTGGTATGGGGGTAGGAATACAGCTGATGTCTTGAGCTCTCGACTGGAACATCGAAGGTCTTGAAAAAAAATAAAAACGTATATAAGTTATTTCATAATAAATTAGGATTTTAAGATATTTTATAATTTCAATGTGATTTCTACATCATATCATACACAAATATGTTACTAATTTATAACTTGAAAGCAAGAAAATGGTATTCAAACAGCTCTCGCGCCTTTGCTTCGCCAGGCTGTTCCAATATGATCTTTCGCCAGCCCTGGCGAACGTTCGCCTGACATGATTTTAATAGTACGAAATTCCGGATCGCCCGGCGAAACCTTTCGCCAGCCCTGGCGAAGGTTTTAAAAGTACGAGCCTGAGAGTTGGTGGGAGAATGTTAACGTACCAAGCGCCCTATTACGGCCTAACCCAACGTATATTGCGCCTCATGACCATAGTAGCACTGGTCGGAAATATCAGAAAGTTAATTACGCCTCCAATACAAGGCAAATACAGTAAGAAATAAGAAAGATATGTGCTCTACAGTACCCTGTGTAACTACATTGTGAGCGTGCAACGTCTAGTCCGCATGGTGCACTGTCAAATGGCTCATGGCTCTATAGTTTATGATAGGGCCATAAAAGTTTGTTGAAAATGTATTTGTAAGCTATATATAGCACTAAACTCAACATGTGATGACAGCTCCTTTAAAGATAGAGCTGTACATGAACTCTCAAGAGACGAGATATCAAATGTATTTGTTGAAGAGATGTACGTCTTCATGAAATTATAGGGAAATTTGTTATTTCATGAATGGCATGGGTGCATGACACCAGTCATATAGCTCATATGAGTGAGGTGTACATGATACACGATGAAAATATTTCTTTTGAGATTTTTTTCTTGAAACGAACTTTCTACAAGGTTCTCATTTTCCCGCATATAAAGCTTTGAGTTGAGTAGCATTCAATGCGTGATTTCTTTACAGCAGGGTCACTGCTATTTACAAAGCTTTTTCCCCATACCATTTAATTGTGCATACAAAACGGTTCTAAATACAAATGACTAGAGAAAACAAAAGACCGCCAAGCACAAAAGGAAGAAAGGTGAGGGAGGTGGATTTTTGCGAAAAGGCAGCGCAGGATGGTAATTAACACATACTGCTCTTTAAAAATCGACAAGATGAACAATACCTCCGTTTTTTTCCAACAATGATGAATTCATTTCTGTATTTTTCTCGGTGTTTACAGGCAACGCTAACATGGAGGCGACAGTGAGACAGTACGAGGACAACTTCGAACTCACAGCCGACGTCTCGAGGATCAACAAATACGGCAACCAAAGCCACTGCATCTCCGACCCCTTCTACGCGAGATACTGTTACTGCAGAGACTTGCTGCCCTCTGAATCCCCCCCAGTGTCCATGTAGATGAATCCCTCGTCCTCGCGAAACTAATCAGACGATATATATTTATAGATCGGGATGGGAAATATTAATGTCATTTATTGTATATTGTTTACTTGCGGAGCGGACCATCTCTTGGGGTAGAGTGAATGACTTCAAGGAAGAAGAAAGATAACAAAGAATATGTGTATATATTCAGAGAGATGATTATATGTATAAGCTGTATAGTAAGCATTATCATGTACAAATTAGTGTTAACTGTGTATTGGATGCGTTGTAGCAAGTGCTGAACCAGTGCTAATGTCTTCGAGCCACGAGGGTCCCGCTGTGACGGTGGAATTTGGAAAATCAACGAAAACAGTGAAATTCCTACCAAAGAGCCAAGATTAAAGGCCTTAGATTTACTTGCAGTGCTCACGAGTGCAGGTGTTTTGGTGATATAACATTGCATTTTGGGATTCTTGCAACTCCACTGAGGAAGTAGGACTCACTCGAGTACAGGACACTAAAGGAAGTTTTAAAAAGGCCTTAAACAATTTGATTTAACAGAGGATTAGGGAAATTTATATAAACTTTTATAGATATTTATTTTTATTTAGCAGAACCCTTATCTCACTAATATAAAATGTAGCAATGAAATTAACATTATAACAGTATTTTGGTCGAGAATGCATATTTTATATAAAAAAGATAAAATGGTTATAAAGTGAATTATTAGGATCATAGCATTTATTTTTTCTTTTCGCATTTATAGTGTTTTCAGTTACAAGAAAAAGCAAGCGTGATACATAACAGAGAAAAGGAACGTGATGATTTTCTGTAACATAGTCCTTTTATGAAATGCACAGAGTGTAAAGTGATAAAATGAAAGAGAAAAATCATATGTGGTAGTCATGAATACACACCTGTAAACAATTGTCACACACACGTACACTCTTGCGATGTATAATTTCGTTATAAAATTTGCATTTATCGCACACATGTCCAAAAAGAGAGAAAAAATTTAATTTTGTACTTTATTCATCTCTGAAAAATAACATGAATATAATAAGATAAGAAGTGTATACAAACACCGGTGTCATTTCTATCATTGCAAAGCTAAGAATTCGCATTTCATTATTTAACGTGTAAAGAAACTGTCTTTAAAGCTGAATATTTAGATAGTTGTCGATATGACTGAATACAACTCAGACTAGTGTTTGTATATACGGAAAAAAA